CTGCTGTTCTTTGTTGTTGACTCTGACCTGAGCAGGAGGGTATGTGGGAGGTGAAGCACTCACCATGGAGAGTGTGCTTGGTAGGAATTCTGACTGCACTGTTTGCTAGAATATTGTTCAGAAGGAAAGTGTTAAAACATAGCCCAAATCTCTACCCCAGAAAAAATGGGACTCAAGTCTCCCAGTTACAGGGTATTAAAATTTTTAGAAAGTAAAATCCTAACTACATGAGAATGACAAATTAATTGATCATTTTAAAAGTAGTTCTGACCCAAATATACTTCCTAGAGTCTGCTTGCATCTTGCCAATCTCACGTGGTTTGCCGATTTGTGAAACACTGGTATAATGCAACATGAAACCATCCGTGCAGTTAACGAAGGCATGCTCGGAAACCAGTGAAGAAACCTGCGAGCAAACTTCAGAGCAAAGTTACTGGCACAGACTGCTCAAGAACCTCTGCAGGGTGGAGACAAGAGCTGGTCTGTGATACGAGATAGAAAGAGAGAGCCTGTATGAAACTGCTGTGCTCAGGCATTTTAGGGGCAAATGCTTTTGATTTTATGTTACAAAATGAAGCACGCCGCCTGGAGGGGTGTGCTCACTTACTATGTTGTATAATAGAGAATAGAAAAGCGCTGTGATTTTTGTCGTATTTGTAGATCTGTCATTCGGAGCCACAAAGACATTTATTCCTGTCAGTTTCGTGCAGTTCTGGGCCACTCCGGGCCTGGTCCTCTCAACTTGGCTTTTTCTGCTCACAGCCGGTGCTCTACCATTTGACCCATGCCTCCAGTTCTGGCGAATTTTCTGCTGAGTAGTTAGTAGGAGTTTTGAGGATGTAGCTTGTGCTTATTTTTCAGGGCTGGAGATGGATTCCAGGGTCTGGCCTGTGCCGGGTCAGACCTTTACCAGCTGCCCTGGGCTTGTTCTCTGCTCACCAACTTTAATTCTCCCTTGGTGTCAGCTTCTGAGTGTTCTTGTGGATAGTTCACTCACATTTCACTGAAGCAAGTAAGTACTATTCTGTTTAAAAAGTATCAGGGTCTGTAGCTTCTAGACCAGAAGGTAATTTCTTACTTAGTCATAGTTGTAATGAGGAATCTTTCTACATTTTCGTAGAGCTGTCTTTACCATGTAGTCTTATATTGCAAAACCTTTACAGTGCTAGAGGGGTCTTGGTAACTAAAAATCATTTTGTAAGTATCTGTTTAATAATCTTGGAGTATTAACTGGCTTCCTGGTACATAACCACTCACAGGCCGGAGAGATATTGCCAGTCACATTGACCTCCTCTTGTGAGCGTTGAAAAAAGAAATTCAAGAATTCAATGCTAGGGGCTGGGAAGGTGGCTCAGTGGTGGACCGCTTGCCTTGCATGCCTGAGGCCCTGGGTTCGATTCCTCAGCACCACATAAGCAAAAAGAAAAAAGCC